CAAATGGTCCAAGGATTGCCCAAAAACCTATGAAAGAGGCAAGCCCTTCATACCAAATCGAGACATCCAGCGCCTACCACTTGGAATGAAAAGGTTCCATGATTGGTACTTGCGTGCTCTCCAGACGAAAATACAAATCGTACAAGCACGCTTCCCCACCAACACATTTGTAGGCCCAGAAGGGGTAATTGCCTTTGACTTCAATGACGTTCAGACAATGTTTCACCTTGGAGAAATGAAAATGAATCTAATTCGCATGTGGTGCCTATAAATCCTTGCCCTCTTGATATAATATGATTCTAATATTTGCATTTTGTTGTAACTAACCCACAGCGTGATTTGTAGAATGCAAGTGCACACTTCAAAGCAAATGCCAAGTGTGCAATCGAGGTACGTAGACCCTCAATGTATAACACAGCCAAACTTCAATTACGCCAAACAATGGTCACTGGATTGCAATGAGCTAGTTGCTAGAAAGACCGTTGAGGAGAAAGAGGAAATCCGGAACAAGAAAATAAGGGCGGCGGCCCTTAAGACAGCGGCATACATAGCCCTAGCTTTTAAATACCTCTAAAATAACCAAGTTATATGGCTACCATACAACTTTGAGTAAGTCCAACTATATACTTAAAGCTTTAACAATACACATTGTTTTGTTCGATGCAAAAGAGCTTATCGGTTTCTATTATTAAATTCATGCAGCCGCCACTAGATTTGTAAAGGCGTCGATGTCGGGATGGGCATGGCATGGGTCTTTGATTCAATAGATAAGGACCCGACAACATACAAAGGCTTCATATCGATTCTCAAGACGTATACATATCGACAATCCTCTTATATACCATGTAACATTCACTTTTGGATATTAACAAGTTGTATTTGTTAAATTCATTCGAACAGGGCGTACAGGTACTATGTTAAGACTCACAAAGGGAGGCATGATTCAGAAAGGAAGCATAACCTATGTGTTAAAACACTATGTGCGATAAGTGTAACTTACTTAAGTACTCCATTACATTGCTATCAAAAGCATTACTTAACATTTTTTTATATGCGAAACACATAATGCCTCGAGCAGAAGCCCGAGAGTTTACATTGTGGATACTACGTATGCAGTATGATGAGTAACACCACTATCTATAGGAGACACCCCTGTAGGGTAAGTTTGAACCTCTTCAACCTCTTTATATGCTCACTATTTTTATATATGCTCACTATTTTTATATATGCTCGATGTTTTTATATATGCTCGCTGTTTTCATATATGCCCACTGTGTTTAGATATGTCCTCTGTTTTTAGATATGTCTAAACTTGTTTTCTTGTAGTGGCAAGATGAGAAAGGTGTTAGAATGGATCCACACAAAGATGACAACCTCTTGGAGCTCGTCAGTGACCTTTGCAACTTTATAATGGACCAGATTATAAACATCAGAGGCATTTACCATGACCGAGCGACCGAATTCGATAGGAATCCTCAGTACCAACATCTTCGTGAGTGGGAAAGGCTAGGCTTAGGCCGTTGATTGGACTTGTGAATGGAATATGACATTGGTAATGTTATCGAATTTATGGAACGGTCGGACTTATGGATTATGTGAATGTAATGATAAATTATATTTGTTCTTGTGATTTGGACTTGTAGTCTTATTGGATATAATGTTCTTGCGAATTATATATGTATATGTATGTATCTTCTTGTGAATTGGATGTTCATATAATGTCCTTGTGAATTATATATGTATATATGTTCTGGTCAGATTTGAATTTTCAAATTTGATTTTTTTGCTGGAAAACGGACTATAGGGCCGATTCTAGAGTTAACCGCCCCTACAAATCCGATTTGTAGGAACGGCTGGTGTATAAGCCGCCCCTAAAAATCATATTTGTCCTCAGTACCAACATCTTCGTGAGTGGGAAAGGCTAGGCTTAGGCCACTGATTGGACTTGTGAATGGAATGTGACGTTGATAATGTTATCAGACTCGTGGAACGGTCGGACTTATGGATTATGTGAATGTAATGATGAATTATATTTATTCTTGTGATTTGGACTTGTAGTCTTATTGGATATAATGTTCTTGTGAATTATATATGTATATGTATGTATCTTCTTGTTAATTGGATGTTCATATAATGTCCTTGTGAATTATATATTTATATATATATATATATATTCTGGTCAGATTTGAATTTTCAAATTTGAAAATTTTAATGGAAAAACGGACTATAGGGGCGGTTCTAGAGTTAACCGTCCCTACAAATCCGATTTGTAGGAACGGCTGGTTAACAAGCCCCCTTAAAAATCATATTTGTAGAGGCGGCTACCGATCAGTTTGTGGAGACATCTTATAACAGCAGTCGTCCCTATAAATCGATTTGCAGGGACGATTTTGAAACCGTCCCTACAAATCAATGATTTGTAGACACGGTTGCTTAGGGGCGGCTGGAGATACCACCCCTACAAACCCTTACCAGCCGCCTCTACAAATCCTTACGGTAGCAGTGGATAGATAGATAGATAAATAGACAGACAGACAGATAGATATGCAGCTATAGCTCAGTAGGAGCTGGAATCCTAATGCCTCGTTCGGTTCTTTGTTGGGAACCATTCTCTAAAAAAAATTCTCAGCCAGAATGATCAGCTAATTTGTATAGGTTTGATCGAATGGTTTCTATGCTCCTTCCAGGCTAACCCAACGAGCTCTAAAGCGGCGACAGATCCATGGAAAACTACGTGGCCTCCGTCGGCGGTTGACGACAGGTGGTCCATGGAAAAAAAATACGGTGCAGGGTACGTAGTTTTCCATGGTCATAAATTATTTAGGTCATGGAAAACCACTGTTTATTGATGACGAGGGTGGACTTTGCTACGCCATGATCATGCATTATTTAGGTCGGCTGGCGACCCAGAATAAAATTTTTGTTGATAATAAACAGGTATAATAAAGATGTACTAATTCGCGGATCTCGAGCAGTGCTAGCTGTCTCCTGCTACCGAACCATGAGCAACGGCGGTCAGGCATGAGAACAAGTGCCTACTCCTATCAGCATTGCGCGGCAGGTGCTGCATTGGTAGCACAACGACGGATAACTGATTGAGGAGAGGGAAGCAACTGGTGCAAAGCTGGCGGCGAATGAATGTGCGAAGGTCGTTAAAATATGGTTTTGAACCGGATAGAAACTCTAGTGTTAGGATTGCAAATCATAGAAGCCATTGTATATTGGCCTCGTTCGCTGCTCTGAAACTTAGCTGAAAAACATTGTTCCGGTTGATTTATTGTGAGAGAAAAATACTGTTTGGCTGGTTTGATGAACATTACCACGTGACTGAAACCAGCCGGCTGGCTGAACGGTTCAGACCAGCGAACACCACCTTTAACTAAGACTGTAAATTTGTACCATGCATATAATGGCAGTTTTAACAACTATAAGTCTGTTTGGCACAGCTTCACCAACAGCTCCATGTCGCCCTGGGCTTTCGGTTAACCGAAATCGATCAGTTCGGTTCCTCGGTTCTTTATAAAATTCGGTTAGCATAAAACTGGAACCGATCGGTTAGCCAGGAAACTTGGAACCGAGGAAATTCGGTCTCGGTTAGTTCGGTTCGGTTTCGATGAGCCAAACATTACATCAGCGAAACAGAAGGGAAGAAAAGGGGAAAAATGAAAACCGAGCCATACATTACATCAGCCATACAGTTCGGTTATTTTGCTATTAGGCTAATATATACAGATTCGGTTCTTCGGTTTTGTTCGGTTAACCGAGCTCTAGAACCGAATTACCGGACATTATTTCGGTTCCTGAGAACTGGGAACCGAACTAGGAACCGGAATTTTCGGTTAATTCGGTTTCGGTTCCGGTTATTTCGGTTCGGTTCTCGGTTATTTTTGTCTAGGGTTAGCTTCATGAGCTATATATACTGAGCTATTTTTTGTCAAACACTTTTTTTTTCAAAATAGCTTCATGGCGAAGCTATTTTTCCTCCTCTCACACATAGATGAGTTGAGATGGAGCTGAAAAAAATAGCTTATCACAACTTTATCTCCCATACGTGGGCCCCAGTATTCGTAAGGACTGTCTGTGCCCCTCTTGGGGAGCGTGAGGACCCGCCGGGGGAAGAGCACGCGCAGCCGCCGGAAGGGCTCACGCCACTGCCGGGAGAGCACGTGCAGCCACCGGGAAAGCACGCGCAGCAACAGGGCTGTGGCTCGCGCCTGTCGTGGTGCGGACACAAGGGAGAGCACACGCGGCCGCTGGGAAAGCACGCACGGCCACCGGAAAAGCACGCGCTAGGATGCGCAGGTGCAGTTGCCGGGACCACGCAGGACTGTCGGGCACGAGCGGTGCAGCCATCGGGATGCGCAGAAGCGATCAGCGTGGGGGACGTCGCCGTCGAGGGCGCGGGGCCGGGACTCCGCCACCGGGACTGGGGAACGGGGCTGGGGCCGTGGCCGCCGGGACGGGGGCGCAGTCTTCTGGGGGCTGCGGCCACCCGGGGCTCGGGCGTCAGCCATCGGGCTTTTTTGCATGGCCTCGGGAAGGAGATGGCAAAGAGGGAAAGAAAAGGGAAAGTGCAGGGCTATTTTGATAATTTATTTTTTCTTTTATCTTGAGAAGCTGTTTTGTCAAACGAGATAAAAAAAAACAGCCTAGCTTCTTCGGTAAAGCTGCTCGTTAAGCTGAAAACTAAAAAAAAAAATTATTAGTGAAGCTGACTGCCAAACAGAACCTATATATGTTCTAGAATAGTTCTTTTTTTTCACCAGATCGAAGAGTATGTTCAACGTAATATCTTTATACAGAATGTCCGAACTCGATCCGAAGCAGACACAAGTAATAAATGCTGACTGTGGCAGATTGATTCACGGGGGTAACTGCTGGTATAGCAGTTTACGCAGCCGAAGATACACAAACGTTCCGGAAAATCACACTAGTCGCCGGTACGCGCATGCTCAATGCGAGGTGGACACACCTCCAGCCAGGGCCAGGCCAATTCGACATCACACTCTCGTCGTCGTCGACGGGGGTGGCCTAGGCATCGCCGTGGCCTTCATCCTGTTCGACACCGAAGCTGGCGGCAGCTTCGGCTTCGCCCCCAAGGACCGCCTGTTCCAGATCTTCGTGCCGCGGTAGCCGTAGGCCCTGTCGTCGTCGTTGCCCGCCGTCACAACGCCGCCGGCGGCGGCCCAAACACTCCTCCCATCCTCATCTTGAGAGGAGCGGACAGGGGCGGCGAAAGAACCCACGAAGACGACGACCATGAATAGCCAAGCTAAGATTCTGCGACTCATGGCGGTTGCTAGGGCTAGCTCAGGAATGCTTTTGGGAGTTTAGAATGAAGTGTGTCCAAACTCATCAACTCATGTTGTGTATATAGTACTGCACATGCGATTTTGCGATGGATGCTAGGGTGTCCAAGGCTTATCGAACTGCTGGTCGCCAATCTGCTAAGCAGGCTATTAGCTAGTCAGCTGTATTATATATTATTATACTGCGGCATGCACCTACTGGCTGCTGAGCTGCTGATGCAACGAATGAGTGGTACTGGTACAATGCTTGTAGCTTGTGTGCAGAGTTTTTATTGACTCCAATTTATGATGTTAGATTCATTGGTTAAGTTTTTTTTTTTTGAGGAAGTTGACCTCACAACTCACATCAAACGGGCCGACAGACTTTGGTGGCGCACTATTTGAAACGTGAATTGCCCTGTGGGTTACAAGTCTTTCTGTGTGTGTTTTTCAGTATACACACAAGGAAATTAGTCATTGACGTGTCGGTTTCAAAAATCTCAATACAAAACATACAAAAACCCACAGGAAAGTTACACAATTTCTCTATGCCTCATGATACACACAGAGTAATTGTAATTACCCTGTCGGTGTTGTAGAAATGCACAGGAAAAAAATTATCTTGTCGGTTCATGTGTTACGCACAGAAAAAACTATGCACACGCACAAGGAAATCTAATCGCGGGCAAGGATGGGTTGGCGCCACTGGTTTTGGTGTTGTTGGCGCCTTCTGCTAGTGTGTCATTTATGTGAACATGTTGCTTTTGGCAAAGCATATGACTATTTTGTTGATGTAAAATATTTGGATATCTTATTTGCGTGTATGCTATTGCTATATGAAATGCTATACATGGTTTTGGGTGACCTGAAACTACCATTTGTATGCTAATATTATGATGTGTTTATAAATTAAGCTGCTAATTGAATGAACCAAATTGAACATGAAATTTATTACATCACATGATTACATGTGTAGTAGTATTGTTTTATATATCATAGAGTGCTTAAAATTGAACTATTAATAGTGATATGACATCATGTTTCAGTTAAAATGTGTATAAGCTTATTTAAAACAATAGCTTATAAAATTTACTATCATGGGGTATTAACATAAATTGAAGTGAATTGTCAGTGTTATTGATACGTGGTTTGTTAAGTAAATACTTTTTCATTCTTTATAAACTATTAAAATAAATATTTATCATAATATATAGTACATGATGAAACATAGCATTATGCTTATGTTTAACGACATAGTTGTAGAAGTGTGTGGCTTAGAAATATATATACCGTACTTTAATTTACAGATATTGAATTGTTTTCCATAATAACATTTATTAGTATTTACATGTAGATTTGAGAGATATTGTTGTTTACTTTCTATAACAGTTGAGGTAGATAGAAATATAAAAGTGATACTTTATATTATCTTTCGTAGGGACGACATATATGCATAGGTTGAATGCAAATTTATAGGTTACTTTGCATTATCTTTCATTATAGGTAATTTATAAATCATTAGAAGATATTTTAAAGTTTCTTTTATAACGGCGGATGTACCTATGCGATTTCATTGTAGAACAAGTACTGTTGTCACGATCAATGAAGCAAGCTTTACATAGAGATGTGTATACGGAATGTCCGAAGTATAGTTTCTCCGTTAAGAAAAGAATGCAATTTTAACATAATATTAAGATAAAATATCTTAAATTTGGACTAATATAAAAGTATCAATATTTATACTATCAAATAAGTACTATTAAATTTGTTTTGAGATATATTTTCATAGCGTACTTATTTAGTGTCATAAACGTTAATATTTTTATCTATATAATATTTCATTAAATTTTAGATACTTAAAAAAATAAATCTAGAATTGTATTCTTTTTAGAAGGGAGGTAATACAAAGGCAAGTGCCGACTGTGGCAGATTAATTCAAGGGCAAATTCTAGTAGTAGCACTTTACGTAGCGGAAGATACACAAACACACACTACTCGCTGGTACGCGCATGCCCCAGGAATTGGACACACATAAGGAGAAGCAGCAGGCCAAGTCGATGACATCACATTCTCGTCGGCGGCGGTGGCGCAGGCATCGCCGCTGCTTTCTTCTTGTTCGACACCGGTGCTGGCGGCAGCGTCGCCCTCGCCCCTAAGGAACACCTGTTCCAGATCTTCTTCTCGCCGCGGTAGCCGTAGGCCCCTAAGGAACGCCTGGCTACTAGGTGATGGTAGTGTATATATTTGTAATACCCCCTGTTGTTGATATATGGGGCTGGTGAAACGTATTAGACAATTATTGCAGCTTGTGCGCGGGTTTCTAATTGAGATTAGCTAATGGTGTTAGATTCATCAGTTGACCGGGGGGACGCGTGAGCTGGCCGTGGATGCGCGGATTAAATACAAATGAAATGGCGGAGGAAGTTTAGAAAATGGCAAAGTGTAAGCCTTTTTTTTTTACGAGGGCAAAATGTAAGCCTTTCATGAGAACTGGCGAAGGACCTTGTTTGGACAATTATCAAGGGCTGTTTGGCAGGGATTCAGTTTCTTAAAGATATGTTTTTAGATAAACTAACTCTCTGAATCTCTCATTGAAGGCAGGGTTTTCTGATTTCTTGAATATATATAGGAGAATCTGGGAAAGTTTCTGGCTGAATCCTAAAATTGTTTGTAGGATTCCTCTGTTTTTCTTTGGTAGTGATTCTTTTTTTTAAGCAGCAGTTTGGATAATGAGCTTTTTACCTGTACGGTCATGAAAAAATGCATCTTCCGTGTATGGCTCTTTGTTTGAACTTACCTGTATGGCCCTAAAACAAAATTTTCTTCCTTCTATGGCCTTCTGTCAACTCTATTAGAGGGATCCGTTAGTCTCCCCACTGTTGCATACACGAAATGACTTGATTACCCTTCTGCTATTCCTCCCTCCCCTACCGAACCTGGGGTAAAGACCGAGCGGCGAGCTTTTGTCGCCGCGGGGGGAAATAGGCGCGACGATGTAGGAGGGCGCCGCCGCCGCCGCCGCCGCCGGCCAGGGGCCGCGGCTGGCCTCTCAGCCGCCAGATCCACGGTGGGCGGGGCCCCTCCCATCCTCGGTCGGTGTCCTACGCGTCGGGGAGGCGCCGCCGCCTGCCTGGTCAAGTGCGAGCGACCGGGGCTGGTCCGGCGTGGCCAGCCCGGCGCGGCACCAAGCAGCCCCTCATGCGCCCATCCCGGCCTTTGCAGCGGCCATCCCGGCGTTTCCTGCGGCGCGAAGGGGCAGCCCAGCTGTCGAGACAAATGCAGGTGAGCCTGGAGCAGTCGAGAGACTACGTGCGGTGCCCTGCGTCGACCAGGATCAACTTCGCGCTGCCAAGGATCCCATGGAGGAGGTGTTGGGGGAGCCCATACGGAGTATGGGCCAACTCCCCTCGAAGAGGCCTGATGAAGGAATAAAGGCGGAGGCTCTCCCCAAGATGGCAGAGGCTAGCACAAAGGATAATGGCGGAGGTTCTCCCCAAGATGGCAGAGGCTCTCCCCAAGATGACGGTTCCTTAGACTGTGCTTGCAGGACGATGCCGGTGACCCTGGCGCAGCCTCCGCCCGGTTAGCTCGCAGTCGTCTCCGGTCAGAGGGGGAGGAGGCCTCCCTGCTGCAAAGCTAATCAAGTGCCGACGTTACCTACATGTGTGCAGTAACTGAGAAGGAAGGCGCTCATGAACGGCGCGGCGGCGCGCCAGTTTCGCCTCCGCTCGTATGGGGGCGGAGACCCAAGCAGAGGACGGGCAGAATCAAGGCGTCGGAGGTCGGCCAACCCGGCATCCCGGAAGCGGAGACCTATGGCGAAGGTCCAAAGGCCCATCGCTGAATCCTGAGGCCTGATGGGCCAGTTGATCACGCAGGCCCAGTACCTGAGGGCGGCATGACAAGATTACACCCGAGACGAAAGGCGAGTAGTGGAATATTCCGAGAATGTACTGTAGCAGTTGGAGGGTACTATTGTAAAATCTGTAAAGTGGTAGTTGAGCCCTATAAATAGGGAAGACTTGTAACTATATAGGGGGGGTGAGGCAATTATGGAACCCTAGTTCTTATGAGTCGGTACTTGATCCTCACTCTCTCCATCAGGCAGAGCTTGTGCCAAAGCCAGATTCCGAAGCCTCGGCCAAAGCCGGAGGCCTCCGCCCCTTTCTCCTACTCCCACTTAGCAAAACCCTTCTAAGTCCCTCGTTTAGCAACGATTTACCTGGAACCTCCGTCGGAGGATCTTGTCCGACAGGCGTGTGTTCGGGGGCCTCCGCCCATCTTAGGCGGAGACCCCAACCTAAGACGAAGGCATCCGCCCACTTCTCACTCTTGTTAGAAACTGAGGTTTCAACACCTGACCAGATTCAGGCATCAAGGCAAAAACAAACTTGGCCAAACAAGCCTCCGACCTTGACAAAGTCCTGACCAGATTCAGGCATCAAGGCAAAAAAACTTGGCCAAACAGGCCTCCGACCTTGACAAAGTCCTGACCAGATTTAGGCATCAAGGCAAAAACAAACTTGGCCAAACAGGCCTCCGACCTTAACAAAGTCCTGACCAGATTCAGGCATCAAGGAAAAAAAAACTTGGCCAAACAGGCCTCCGACCTTGACAAAGTCCTGACTAGATTCAGGCATCAAGGCAAAAAAACTTGGCCAAACAGGCCTCCGACCTTGACAAAGTCCTGACTAGATTCAGGCATCAAGGCAAAAACAAACTTGGCCAAACAGGCCTCCGACCTTGACAAAGTCCCCACCAGATTCGGCATCAAGGCAAAAAACTTGGCCAAACAGGCCTCCAACCTTGACAAAGTCCCCACCAGATTCAGCATCAAGGCAAAAAAACTTGGCCAAATAGGCCTCCGACCTTGACAAAGTCCTGACCAGATTCAGGCATCAAGGCAAAAAAAAAAAACTTGGCCAAACAGGCTTCGGACCTTGACAAAGTCCTGACCACATTCAGACATCAAGGCAAAAAAATGGCCAAACAGGCCTCCGACC